TTTATTATATTGACCTTTCACCCATGCCTGGCTAACAATACAGAATTTACAATGAAACAGCTTATGTGCACTCATGTTAAAATATCAAATAACATGAAACTGACCTTTGTTCTATACAAAGTAGCTTGTCTTGGCTGTGTTTTAGTAGACTAGTATTTTGTAAAATACAGTCACATTTAAATTGTTATACATGTACATAGATTATTGCTATTTTGATACAAGTTCTTATACTTATTTTTCTTAAAACATAGAACAGTAAATAAAGAAGTAAAGTAAACAATTATCTCTTCTAGTTACAACCTTTGAACTTGGTTACTGCTTGCTAAGCCTTCAAAAAATTTGCACGTGGAGGATATGAAACAAAATATTTTTTTTAAGGTTTTATATATACATTTTAATAACTAAAAAAATCATAAATTACTACATTAATACCATAGAATTCCACTATAATTTATCAAGCTTAGTAACCAAGATGTATTTTAGTCTAAAAAATATGAAATTTCGAGCAGACTAAAGACACACCCTACCTCGTTGAAATATTGGTTCCAAAGAAAGAAATGGTGTTAAGCCCATTAAAATGGCTGAGAAAGCCACTAGGGGGACATTCTGAGCTTCTAATTGGTTATTCATGACATATATAGAAGTCAGTGTATATTAGGGAGCATTTCTGAAAATGGAAAGAGGTGGGTGGGGTGCCACTGTGTTTGATTTATTGCATGAGCAATATCTTAGCAAATTGTAAAGATAAGAGGCTCTTATTATGTATTCTAGCTTGTCAATATCTGTAATTTGAGTTTTTAATTCGTATGAAACTATAGACTTAGTATTTTGACTTCACAAACATCTAATATGAACCAGTGCTGCATTCAACATACCATGTGACCATTTTAATATTTATTTTTAAATTAACAAATTGAGTAATGTATAGTTCTAAAATATGAAGTATAATGTACAGTTTGATACCAAACTTATTGACATAAATTGATCAATTAGTATTTCAATAAAATTTTGAGTGTGAGTCAACAAACGAGATGACATGGCCTTTCACCTGTGATCCATATAGAAAGGGTTAATTGTGTTTTCATTTTATTACTTTTAAAAGTCAACATAATCAGTAGTTAATTACATTTTTCAATTTGTTATTCATTGATATTCTTTAGTGTGTGTCATAATTTGTGAAGTTTTTCTTTTTATAGGTATATTCCATAAAAAAAACAAAAATACATCTTAAGCTTCTGATACGGTACATTACCTCCTCTCACATAAATAGCTATTCACTTTCAGTGCTGCCTTCTATATAAAAAAAATTACACATACCACAAGCTTTTTTTCTCCCATCTATTAGAATTGACTGACTTCAATGTGTGTCTCATGCAAATCATCATGTGATAACCCTCCATCAATAAGAGTGTGACAAACTTTCATTACATATGCGACTCCCTCTATACAATTCTACCTAACTATCACTTCTCGTTTGGCATTACTTGTGTTCAGACATATTTTGCTTTTGGTGCTTTTCATGTGCTTTGCAATCGTAAACTTACTGCTTTCAATTCTGGAGTGGGATTTCTTCATTAATTTTTTTAATTATATTGAAGACATTTTTTACTTTAACTTCCCAGTTTTTTGTTTTTTCTCTCTCACATTTGTCTGTCAAACATTTTTGTTTGATTCATATTAATGAAATTAATTCTGAGGTTCAAGTTACCACTTTGGGTATCATACCTCCTACAAACACTCTTTCACAGGCTGCACTGGATTTATCAACAATTATCTGCCGAGAGATTGATCATTACATGGGTCAACCATCTTCACTTGAACTTGCCCCACTTCCTCCTGAACAAGCCTAACCTGTTCTTGCCAATGAAGACTTTGATAGCTTTTTTCCACCACTAGAATTTGCCATATCTTCCTATGCCCAACCTGCAGAATCAGCTAGGCCTAATATGGCATTTTTTTAGACATTTCTCAGGTATGTGATGTTTTATCCATTTCTCCAATTTCCTATGATCCCCGTTCTTCTTTGTTGCATGATAGTTCTTCCTCTTCGTATTTAGTTTTCTCACCCTCCACAGATATTAGGGTTCATGCTGAGCAATTTGCTTCACAAGTGGTTGAGGGTTCCAGCATGCCTCACCCTCCAAGGGCTATGGATCAGTTTGCTTTGGCTTACCATCATGCTGACTGTCTGTTTCTCGACTCTCAGCAGTAGGGTTCTATTTTACCTGTGTGTGAGGTGGTCCCTGATTTTCCTGTGTGTTTAACCCATGCCCAGTTTCCAAACCTTCATCTTGCTCTTACTTCACTTCTACAATATTTATCTGCCATCCATCTCCATTCCAAGGCAATACGGCAAGATGTAAAGGGCAGTCCTTGATTTTCCATTGCGTTTAACCCATGGTCAATTTTTATGCCTTCTTCTTACCCTTACTTCCTTTCTGCGATATTTATCTACCATCCCTCTCCTTTCCAAGACAATACACCAAGATCCTGAGAGTTTTCAAGGGACAGCTCTTCCATTATTACCTCCATGTTGGCTCATTTTTCATCTTCAGCTCTTGCTTTACACACATGGTTTCTCTATTATTGGGATCTTTGAGTTGCCATGCGACCTTGTCCCAGGTTCGTTTGCCACCCACTTATCTAAGGGATTTATGTATGGCCCCTTTGCTTACTGGTATATTTTTGATCATGTACTTGAGACTTTGGAATCACAACAGGAGTCAGTGCATCAACACACTACCATTTCCTCTTTGGGAACTCGTTTGTCACAGTCGGAACCACAACAAATTTCTATTCCTGTTTCTTTTTCTAGTCCTTCCCAGCCCTTACCTGTTCCTCCCTCTAGGGGTTCTTCATCTCATCATTTTATTCAACATAGATGGGCACGATGGCAACAGTACTGGTGACTATCCACTGGGTTCCAGTCTGCTGCGAGCTCGATTGTGCCAATTTGTTCTCTTTTTGGCAATCTTTCACCACTTATCAGTGGTTTATTTGGATTTTATCAGAGGGACTTGTCCTTCAATTCCTTTCCCCTCTCCTTTGTCTCAGGTACCTGTATCCTTCCCTCTGCCTCGGGATCCTATCACCAGCCAGTGTCTATCAGAGGTGGTGCCTTTTGTCTCAACAAGCCATTGAGCCTGTCCATCATCTTTCTCCATGCTTATATTCCAGATTGTTGTCCTCAAGAAAACCAGAAACTGGCAACCTGTAATAGATTGGTCCCACCTCAGTCAATTTCTCAGTGTACCCTCTTTTACCATGGAATCGTTTCTCACCCTCAGGTGGGCTTTTTCTGAAGGTTTGTGGATGACCAAGATGGACGTTATGAATGCTTACTTGCATATCCCGATATCTCATCAGTCGCAACTATATCTCTGGTTTGTTCATCATGGGGAGGCTTATCAGTTTCATGCACTGCTCTTCGGGCTTCCTTCAGCTCTGTCTGCTTTTTGTTCAGGAGGTTAGAGCATTCACTTCTCACCAACATTCTCTTTCGGGTTGAGCTTTCATCATTATATGGATGATTGGCTACTGTTAGCTCGTTCCATACAGGAGTCCGCCCATCACACTCATCAGAGATCCTGGAGGCAGCTCAGGTGGGCTGGTTAATCAAATTGGAGAAGTCATTTCTTCAACCTACCCAACATCTTGTCTATTTGGATGTTGTTTTTCAACACCCATCTCAGTCGAGCCCAACCTTCTCATCTTTAACTTCGTTCTATGGAGCTTTCAAGTCTCCATGCTCTTACTGTTTCCTCTATTACAGCTTGCGAGGTTCTGTTGCTTTTGGGGATGTGTCTTCTATGGCAGCCCTTATTCTCTTAGATCATGCTCATATGCGGGCTCTTCAGTGGGTTCTTCACAACCAGTAGAATCTTGTATGGGATCCTTTGCAGGCTCTTATTACCCTTTCTCTTACCATATTCGACGATCTGTAATGATGGTTGGACAAGACTTGCATGCCAGGGGTTTCCCACTTCCTCCTTACCCAAATTTACACATTTTCATGGACACATCTCTTCAGAGATAGGGAGATTGGTTCATTTTCTCCATCTGGCCAGAAATCATCTGGTAATGATCCATTCCAACAATTCTACAGTGGTTGCTTATCTCAATCACCAGGGTGGCACCTGTTCTCAATCCCTCTGAATTCATATGTTGGATCTTCTTTTTTTGGGCCTACAGGCAAGATATTTATATCATGCATGCCATGTTCCAGGTTGCAGATCAGCTTTCCCATCCACACAAAAATCTATCCAAAGATGTGATCTCTCGATCCTCTTGTTTTCCAGTGGCGTTGCCTTCAGTGGGATATTCCTCACATAGATGCTTTTGCCACATCCCTCAACCATAAGTTACCTCTTTTTTGGTTTCCGGGT